GGGGGGGGGGGAGAAGAATGTTGCTTGTCAAAGAGGAAACAGTCCAGATCAATTAGAAGGATAATTCGCCACACACTAAACACCAAGTACTTAGTAAAAATATAGTTTAAAGAGAGTTCCACTAAATCTGTGACTGAGTTGTAACATCGCATCGAGCCAATACAAAACTCTAATTACACGAGAACAGTGTTAGTAAGCACTATCAATAGACCTTTAAACAGCACTCAGCTTAGAATTAACTCAAAATAAAAGAGGACATAAGATCCTTTGTTTCCACTTAAGATATTTTAATGAACAGACGCAAATAAATAAATTAACAATAGACGTCCAATCCGATTTCTAGGATTCTGACCACGACAATAGCACCGCTCAGTAAGATTGGGGGTGAAAAAACTTGAAACCCAATTGACCACCGATTGGACATGAATGCAAGAGATCCGTAGGCAAGCATCGTCTTGATTAAACAAAACGATACTGGACTGCCCTATATAAGGTCTCAAATCCACATTAAAGAGTACTTTGAAACCCGATTTAGATTAGCTCTAATGAAAAACAACTCCACTCCATTCCCCCCCCCCCCAAACTTAACACAGACATAACTAGTGTGATTGCCTGACCGAATCACGGGATGCCAACCAATAACCATCGATCTTACGACCACTATTAAAATTGATTGCAATTTTGCCAATTGGACTTGGGGGAGAGAGAGTTCTCGAGGACATAACTAGAGCAGTTGTGCATTAACACAATTGAGCCAACCTGGTAAAAAACTCAAATTCTATTAGCTTCTTTATTAACAGGACTCAGCCAACCCATGCCTGAACATTATTATTATTATTATTATGCCAAATAGCAGGCGCTTTGACGGTTATCATTAGTCCTTTAGTTGACATCAGGCTTCACAGAGGGGAGGAGGAACATCAAAGTGAAAACAGAACAGAAGAGTGTTTCAAAGACGAAGGTAGATAAGGTGGAAAAATGTGAGGTGAGAACTGTGGAAGTAGTCGAATATGACATACAGTGGGGTCATGGCAGTTTGAAGTCAGAAGTCAACTGCCAGTCAATAGACTTTTTTGGCGTATGAATATACGTTGCCCAGGGTGCACCACGTGGAGGTAAGTCTATCGCACACCCATGTCTGAACATTAAATCCATGATACCTGAAGAGCCACTGACGCATCATGCATGCATTAATATTAGATTGATCTTTCACAGTAATTGAAGAAAAGAAGGTGTGAAGAGGGAGGCATTAAAACGACACCCTAATTTACTTTACTAGATGTTGGGAACTCATTCGCGATACATAATTAAAAAAATAGACATAGAAAAGGAATAAATAAATCGACCGGTGAATTAAATTAAGCCTACATGTCACTAACCTTTAAAAGGATTCTGATCCAGAATCTCCTTAACAATTTGAGTTGATCTAGTGTAGAACTGGGCAATAGTCTCCTGGAGATCCAGTTGGTTAATGGAAGAGATTGAGCTATAGGTGGTGTCCACATTGTAACCCAATTCATATAGAGCTGCAGGCGAGAGGAAATTCGGCAACTTGCCTGAATACCAACCAAGCCACTCAAAGAGGAGCGGTTCAATTCGAAACGGAAGGTTACTCTACAAGGTCAGACAAAAGCATCCAGTTAGGAATGTCTAAATGGCAGTGACAAGTAACTAATAGGAGCATAAATTCATTGATTTGTTCTATTTATCGGGTTCCAATATATTGAGTCATTAAGGTTATGTCCCATTTAAGGAATATGGTTTCTCCCTAATATCCAAAATCTGGCGTTTGCTTCGTTAAACCACAAAACAAGTACGCAAGCCATAAACTCTGTCTACCTTCTATGTCATGTTGGAGATCAAGTCCTTAGGAGGAGAAGAGCTTTAGTTGAACGAAACTTTCTGTTCCATTTTGGTGAGACGTAAGTCACAGCTTTGTAATGACAATCTAAATGAAAGTTACTTATCAGTGAAAATTTGACCGAATCTAACAAAACGAGACAAGTTAACAAGCAGAAAGCTGCCTTAGAAATATGATGGGTTTTCAACATTAGAAGTTAGAAGTGGAAGTGGATAACTTAGCAATACTGAATACTAGAATTGGGGTGTGTGCACTCTGGGCAACGTATACTCATACGGCAAAAAAATCTGACTTCAAACTACCATCACCCCACTGTATGTCATATTCAACTACTTCCACAGTACTCATCTCACCTTTTTTCTACCTTTGTGTCTGCCTCTTTTACATCTTTGAAACATTCTTCTGTTACCCCCCCCCCCCCCCTATCTCGACTTGTTGTCACTTTGATGTTCCTCCTCCCCTCTGTGAAGCCAGAAGTCAGCTAAAGGGCCAATATTAATTATCCAAAAGCCTGCAGTTTGATATAATTAAATAAATATTAGCATTGGAATTAACAAAACTCAGCTGTTAGGTGCAATCATTATGCACAATACCGGTAATTCCAATAATTGGGAGGATTCCATTAGCCACCTCAAGAAAAGCATTACCAGTAAACAATAATAAGTCAAATAAAATGTCCCAGTAAAAGTCCCAACTACACTCGGTAAATAGTCCAGTGATGGGTATGTGGCAAAATGAAGTGTTTGTAACGAAATGTGCTTCGTTTGGTAGAAGAGAATCAGGCTTCCAGCTTTTCATTGACATAGCGGAATACAAGCTCTCATTCCCACAAATGTCGAGATTTGGATAACAAAATCTATAAAAATAACCTGCTCAGTGAATGGGAGCAGAACTAGCTTACCAAAACTTCATTAACTTCGCATGATTCAAAGCGCAAATTCTTACATGAGGTATAGAACAGCCTCTACTTGCAAAGTTCATTCAAGAATAGTACTTTTAGACGACGTATTCCAGAAAAAAGAATGACTCAAACTTGGAAAATTCTGATGCCGCTAAAAACTCCACATAGCGATGTTGTGGGACATGAGTAGAGCTTTCTACTGCCAATGAGACACTTCTAGAATCAGATTACTATTAGTAAAACTAAAGGTGCTTCAGCTTCCAACTATATCAACCAGACCCATTGAACTCAAAAGCCCAAAACCAGAGCAATACATGGAAAGGTCCATTCAAGGAAGGTTTAAAACAGACTGTTTCAGGGATCTGTTGAACATGGTTTTGACATACCACCAAATAAAGGAGGGCTTGTAGGAGCCACACCATCCTCAATGTAAGAGAGTAAGTAAAAGGCCTGTCAATGTGACATATTAGTGGCATTGGCATAACTGGGACAGAGGGAGAGAACCAAGCTCGAAAAAACAACGTAATGTCTTACAAGAAAGTTAAACATTTGGAATGATTGACTCTACTAAGAAAGAGCATTCACAGCTTATTCAATCATTGAAGTAAAAGGGAATCTAAGCGGCAAGACTGGCCATAGCAAAGGAAACAACCGATCAAGTAAGCACCAGGTATTTCAGACAGAAAGTTACTCTGCTTTCCACAATTCACACGAAGAAAGGCCCCTTGATACCTCAACGTCTCTTCGACACCATCTCCTTCTTCAGCAATTGGGTAGGAAAAATAATAACAAAAGGCGACATTCGATGCATATAGATCCACATTGAATTAACAGAACAAATCTGGACCTCAACAAGGATTAAAGTTCGCAAATAACTCCGGCCAAAGGACGGAACAAAGCTGATTGGTATTTGCGACAAAGTCCTAAAACGCAGTATATATCGAAGGGCACAGGCCTATGTCTGACAAACTTTAATAGGAAACGCAGCTTATCAGGCTGAAACTGAATGAAGTTAATAAGTAATAAATTTGTCTAATTTTTCTTCACATGTTTGCTTGAAAAATTAGAGGTGTACCTTTTAAGCAACTTACAAATTAGATATCAGTCTTAATCATTGGAAAAGAACTATCTGATTTACTAATACTCCGATTATTTAAAATTACCTAACCAGTGCCTAAAAGATAAAATGAGACAACCAAACCTTTCGAACTTAACCAGGTTCATCAAATTAAATTGACCTGTTATATCGTTATTGAAACCTAGCAATTTATGAAACATGTCAAAAACGTCAAATCGTAGAGAGCGGAAGTTTATTCAGAAACCAAGGAAAACTCGAAGATT